CACAACAGCAAACACTGAACCTCATCATCTACTCTTCATCTGACTCTACACACACACAGCAAACACTGAACCTCATCATCTACTCTTCATCTGACTCTACACACACAACAGCAAACACTGAACCTCATCCTCTACTCTTCATCTGACTCTACACACACAACAGCAAACACTGAACCTCATCATCTACTCTTCATCTGACTCTACACACACAACAGCAAACACTGAACCTCATCATCTACTCTTCATCTGACTCTACACACACACAGCAAACACTGAACCTCATCATCTACTCTTCATCTGACTCTACACACACAACAGCAAACACTGAACCTCATCCTCTACTCTTCATCTGACTCTACACACACACAGCAAACACTGAACCTCATCATCTACTCTTCATCTGACTCTACACACACAACAGCAAACACTGAACCTCATCCTCTACTCTTCATCTGACTCTACACACACACACACAGCAAACACTGAACCTCATCCTCTACTCTTCATCTGACTCTACACACACACAGCAAACACTGAACCTCATCCTCTACTCTTCATCTGACTCTACACACACAACAGCAAACACTGAACCTCATCATCTACTCTTCATCTGACTCTACACACACAGCAAACACTGAACCTCATCCTCTACTCTTCATCTGACTCTACACACACAACAGCAAACACTGAACCTCATCATCTACTCTTCATCTGACTCTACACACACAACAGCAAACACTGAACCTCATCCTCTACTCTTCATCTGACTCTACACACACACACAGCAAACACTGAACCTCATCCTCTACTCTTCATCTGACTCTACACACACAACAGCAAACACTGAACCTCATCCTCTACTCTTCATCTGACTCTACACACACAACAGCAAACACTGAACCTCATCATCTACTCTTCATCTGACTCTACACACACACAGCAAACACTGAACCTCATCATCTACTCTTCATCTGACTCTACACACACAACAGCAAACACTGAACCTCATCCTCTACTCTTCATCTGACTCTACACACACAACAGCAAACACTGAACCTCATCATCTACTCTTCATCTGACTCTACACACACAACAGCAAACACTGAACCTCATCATCTACTCTTCATCTGACTCTACACACACACAGCAAACACTGAACCTCATCATCTACTCTTCATCTGACTCTACACACACAACAGCAAACACTGAACCTCATCCTCTACTCTTCATCTGACTCTACACACACACAGCAAACACTGAACCTCATCATCTACTCTTCATCTGACTCTACACACACATCAGCAAACACTGAACCTCATCCTCTACTCTTCATCTGACTCTACACACACACACAGCAAACACTGAACCTCATCCTCTACTCTTCATCTGACTCTACACACACAACAGCAAACACTGAACCTCATCCTCTACTCTTCATCTGACTCTACACACACACACAGCAAACACTGAACCTCATCATCTACTCTTCATCTGACTCTACACACACACAGCAAACACTGAACCTCATCATCTACTCTTCATCTGACTCTACACACACACAGCAAACACTGAACCTCATCATCTACTCTTCATCTGACTCTACACACACACACATCAGCAAACACTGAACCTCATCCTCTACTCTTCATCTGACTCTACACACACAACAGCAAACACTGAACCTCATCATCTACTCTTCATCTGACTCTACACACACACAGCAAACACTGAATCTCATCCTCTACTCTTCATCTGACTCTACACACACAACAGCAAACACTGAACCTCATCCTCTACTCTTCATCTGACTCTACACACACACACATCAGCAAACACTGAACCTCATCCTCTACTCTTCATCTGACTCTACACACACAACAGCAAACACTGAACCTCATCATCTACTCTTCATCTGACTCTACACACACACAGCAAACACTGAACCTCATCCTCTACTCTTCATCTGACTCTACACACACACAGCAAACACTGAATCTCATCCTCTACTCTTCATCTGACTCTACACACACAACAGCAAACACTGAACCTCATCCTCTACTCTTCATCTGACTCTACACACACACACATCAGCAAACACTGAACCTCATCCTCTACTCTTCATCTGACTCTACACACACAACAGCAAACACTGAACCTCATCCTCTACTCTTCATCTGACTCTACACACACAACAGCAAACACTGAACCTCATCATCTACTCTTCATCTGACTCTACACACACACACATCAGCAAACACTGAACCTCATCCTCTACTCTTCATCTGACTCTACACACACAACAGCAAACACTGAACCTCATCCTCTACTCTTCATCTGACTCTACACACACAACAGCAAACACTGAACCTCATCCTCTACTCTTCATCTGACTCTACACACACACAGCAAACACTGAACCTCATCCTCTACTCTTCATCTGACTCTACACACACAACAGCAAACACTGAACCTCATCATCTACTCTTCATCTGACTCTACACACACAACAGCAAACACTGAACCTCATCCTCTACTCTTCATCTGACTCTACACACACAACAGCAAACACTGAACCTCATCCTCTACTCTTCATCTGACTCTACACACAACAGCAAACACTGAACCTTATCATCTACTCTTCATCTGACTCTACACACACAACAGCAAACACTGAACCTCATCATCTACTCTTCATCTGACTCTACACACACACAGCAAACACTGAACCTCATCCTCTACTCTTCATCTGACTCTACACACACAACAGCAAACACTGAACCTCATCATCTACTCTTCATCTGACTCTACACACACAACAGCAAACACTGAACCTCATCCTCTACTCTTCATCTGACTCTACACACACACACACATCAGCAAACACTGAACCTCATCCTCTACTCTTCATCTGACTCTACACACACAACAGCAAACACTGAACCTCATCATCTACTCTTCATCTGACTCTACACACACACAGCAAACACTGAACCTCATCATCTACTCTTCATCTGACTCTACACACACAACAGCAAACACTGAACCTCATCCTCTACTCTTCATCTGACTCTACACACACAACAGCAAACACTGAACCTCATCATCTACTCTTCATCTGACTCTACACACACACAGCAAACACTGAACCTCATCATCTACTCTTCATCTGACTCTACACACACACAGCAAACACTGAACCTCATCATCTACTCTTCATCTGACTCTACACACACAACAGCAAACACTGAACCTCATCATCTACTATTCATCTGACTCTACACACACAACAGCAAACACTGAACCTCATCATCTACTCTTCATCTGACTCTACACACACAACAGCAAACACTGAACCTCATCCTCTACTCTTCATCTGACTCTACACACACAACAGCAAACACTGAACCTCATCATCTACTCTTCATCTGACTCTACACACACACACAGCAAACACTGAACCTCATCATCTACTCTTCATCTGACTCTACACACACACAGCAAACACTGAACCTCATCATCTACTCTTCATCTGACTCTACACACACACAACAGCAAACACTGAACCTCATCATCTACTCTTCATCTGACTCTACACACACACAGCAAACACTGAACCTCATCATCTACTCTTCATCTGACTCTACACACACATCAGCAAACACTGAACCTCATCATCTACTCTTCATCTGACTCTACACACAACAGCAAACACTGAACCTCATCATCTACTCTTCATCTGACTCTACACACAACAGCAAACACTGAACCTCATCATCTGAGGAGCTGGAGATGCTGATCACTAGAAAAGATCCACACACTGTGCTAAAAAGTTAATAAAAAACAAGATTCCAACAATTCAGCCACATCATGTCTTAAAGATACAAACTCATGATGCATTTAAAAAAAGAAAGGAGGAAAAGTTTTCAGGATAAAGAAGTTTCCCCGATCTTACAGGACAAATTCACTCCTGATGAACTTTATGAGAAAGAACCTTTAGAATAGTGAAAACAACAACTACAGGATGGATTTGAGTAGATCATTAAAATGTATGAATTATTAAAAGGAACTCTGTATCTTTCATTTTGCAAATCTAGCCAAGCAGAAGAGTTAAAAACTCAAACTCAGCATAAGTTCATCCTGATTGGCTTCATCAGATGTTGCACGTCAATGTCCTCCTGTAGGACTAAATAATCCACAACGTTACAAAATAAAATGCTGTTTTATAAACTTGTAAACTTTCTATACATCAAAGAATCCTGAAAAAAACAAAATGTATGACGGTTTCCACAGAAATCTGAAGCAGCTGAACTGTTTTCAACACTGATAAAAATCATAAATGTTTCTTGATCATCAGATCCTCATATTAGAGTGATTTCTGAAGGATCATGTGACACTGAAGACTGGAGTAATGATGCTGAAATTCAGCTTTGATCACAGGAATAAATTACACTTTACTGTATATTCACATAGAGAACAGCTGATTTACACTGGAGTAATATTACACTGTTTTACTGTATTTTTGATCAAATAGATGCAGTTTGATAAATATTTAATCTTTATCTTTAGATAACTCTTCATCTATAGACTTCTATAGATACTTTCTGCATGACGAATTAAGTCATTTTAATAACAAAATGGGATTTAATATTTAAATAAAAAGGCCAAAAAAAAATGCTCTTTAGACCAAATCTTGCAGTGAATATACACACTTTTAGTTGTTTTAAAAACCTCACTGACTAACCAGAAAAATCATGGTCAGGTAAGAGAACTATACAGACGAGAGCTTTGTTTGAGAAGTGCACAATCATAGTGGAGCAAATAACCATCAGCTGTACTTCTGTAAGATGAAACACACACGGCTCCTTGTGCCACTGAAAAAGCTTTAAATTAATCCGAAACAGCCTGAGAAAGCATGTAACACACAGAAACCATGACCAATGCTTGTCAACAGGCTGTAGCTGTGCAGTTTATTGCATAAACACGCAGAAATGTCCACCTACCTGATGAACAGGAGACGAGGAATATGGCCAAGGCCAGTTTGGTGCCTGTCCTCATTTTCAGTGCAGATTCTTCTACTGTAATAAATCCCAAGCTGATAATCCGCTCCCTCTAAATGTAATGTTTTAATATTGCCAAAAGCATTTATTTGTGAGCAAACAGGTCCGGATCAATGTGTAAGTCTGTAAGAGAGGTTTAGTGTTTGAGAGATTTGACAAATCCTCAGCCTGGAGGTTTCCATGGATGAAATATCAAACATTAATACAACCATACTGTATTACTGAGACAGCAGCTTGTCCACTGGAAATATGTCCTTAAACTTATTGATCAGAATCGATCACAAACAGAAACGGCTCATTTTGAATTTAATTCCCATTCATGATTCATTCAAGTCCAAAAAAATCTCGAGACGATCTTCTGGGTTTAAAAAAAAAAAAATGATTAGAATAGATCTGAAGATTCATATAATCATAGTCATGATCTTCATTCCAGAACACACGAATATAAATCCAGTTCAGGGTTTAAACATTATGATCCCAAAAAAAACAGGAACATACATCAAATAAAAAAGAGTGTATTTCATAGTGTCGGATAAACTATGTTCCCCGTGTAATCCCAATGCGCGTCTGGAATGATCCAGGATCAGATGAAACAGGTTAAATCTTCTGAATGCGCTGAAAACCCCTCAGATGTGTCTATATATTCTCTCGTGTTTCCTCAACACAACATGGCGAACACCGCTGAGTGTTTTGGTTTTTTGCTCTCCTCAACTCCTCCTCCTTTCATCCACTCCTCCTTCTCCTCCTCTTTTCCACACCATCCTTGAACCGCGATGTTTCCACTCGGTGTTGTTCATCTTTTTCTCCGCCAGGTGGCGCTCGGTGGCCCACAATGCCGCATTCCTCTTGGGCAGATCTCACGTCTCGTGACGGTTTTTGTCTTACTGCAAACATATGATAACTAAAACGTGTAATCTATTATATACGATGTTTCCAAGGATTGGTAGGTGGCAAGCACATTTAAATCTACACTCTGCCATCACTGTAAAATTATTTTTTAAAACGACTACTTAGTAATCAGAAACGACTGTGATTGGTCCAAACGTACCGCGCTGAGAGACGTAACAGTAATCACGTGACTGCACCGTCTGTTCTGATCTACACAAGTTTACACATAAATATTGATACTGAAAAACCGCACTAGATTCGAGACACATCGCGAATAAATAAAACAAAAACATTATTTAGACTCACTTTAAACAGTTTCGTAACATTCTGCTGGTTTATTCAATTTCTAAACTTCCACACGAAACACTGAATAGGCTAGAGGCCTTTGATTGACAGCTCAAGTGGAAAGAAAAGAGAGAAGCACAAGATCGCATTACGACAAGTCCCGCCCCCATCCCGGATCAGCTGTCCAATAGAAGGCCGCGCGTAAACAGATCACACCAATCAGAGCACAGATTGATCAGGTGACCCGGGACTTGTCAGGTGGTAAAAAAAATAAGGCATAATTCAGTTTTGTCCTTTTCAGCTTTCTGGCAGTATTAAAAAAACAAAAAAACAACAACACTATTTACTTTGAAAATTTATATAATTATAAAGCAGTTCCTCATAGGCAGGGGCGGATCTAGACACATATTTATGGGGTGGTGACAGGGGGGCAGGAATTTTTGAGGGGTGGCAATAAATGGCAGACGTATAGAATTTAATCACAGTTAACACAGTTTGATGAGAAATAGTATGTAGCCTACACACTACAAAAGGGCACAGGCTGCCATTTACAAAATCATACAGACAAACTTAATCTCATGCAATCCATGTCTTGCATTTGAGGTGAAACAGTTCATATTAGGAATAAGTGTAAAAAAGGAGAAAAAAGTCGGCACACCTTTATACTCACCTAGGGTAACCTGTGAGTATAAAGGCGGGGTGTGTTTACCTTTTAGTTGTCTGACAAAGACCCTACGTGCTTGAAACGTTACCACCTGTGTGTGAGTCCTTTACATTTTTCACAATTTTGGAGCCAAGGTGCGCTGACTTTTTTCCCTTTTTTATATATATTTTTCTGAGCACCCAACTTGAGTGTTTTGCTGTGGATGTGCGTGCTTTTGGATCTGATTTAATTTTTTTATAAGTGGCCATACAATGTGATCTCACTTAATAGGAGATAGAAGTATGAGGCATTATCACAGAAAAGGCATTAAGGTAAGACACAGGCGAGTGTGCGGATAGACACTTCCGGTTTCGCATTACGCCCGGTGCAGGGAGCCGGAGAAAGCCGAAAATGATCTCTTATAGTTGTTTATAGAATCAATTATATCACTTAAAATACTGCTAAGATATTACGATCACATGAGCCAATGCCAATTAAATGCACGGACGCATAGTCAGATTAATGAATGAAATACAACTGTTCACAGACAGAAGAATGTATTGGACTCATGCTGCATACGCATAGACAATTATGCCTACTGTAAACATAGAGTTACTGTGACGGGTGTGGTGCGTGCTGAAGAAGAGGCCGAGTCAAAACGGCTCCAATTCCAACATTTACTAAATAACACCAAACTGGTACAGGCAGGCAAACGGGCAGAGGATACACACAGAACACAAGGTAACAAACACACCTTACATAAACGAGAACGGGCCAGGACAGACTGACCAGAGGGAAACTAAATACATACAAATGAACACTAACGGGGTGAGGACAGGTGACACAGAGGATGATGATAAACAGGTGGGTAATGAGGGAGTGAGTTCAGGTGTGGAGACAAGGAGGATTCTGGGAAGTGTAGTGAAGACGAAGACAGGATGGTGCAGACGATGACTGTGACAGTTACAACTACGATTAGAGTTGTTAAATAAAATACCCCAACGACATTCACACGTTTGCTCTGTGATAGGCTACAATTTATATCCATAAATACTATTTTCTTAATTATGCGCATATATTTTCACTTACATCAATTGCTTGATCAATATTATTACATATTTTACATTTATATTTGTAACTGTAGGTACCACAAATAATTTAATATGGCTAAGTTTGTGTAAATTTTACACATAGTAAAATACTGTATGTGCTGCATATAAACACCAGACAGATAATGATTTATGAAACAGATGCTCTCATCTCACTTGCACAAAATAAATGCAGTAATAGAAAGCATTGAAACGCACAGGTGAAATAAACTGAAAATTATATGCATTTAAAAATTTGGTCGGGTTGAAAACGTATCTCTCTGGTAATGGAACTCGCTTTTGTCTTGCTCTCGCTGTCTCCCGCTCTCGCTGTCTCCCGCTCTCGCTGTCTCCCGCTCTCGCTGTTGTCTTGCTCTCGCTGTCTCCCGCTCTCGCTGTCTCCCGCTCTCGCTGTCTCCCGCTCTCGCTGTTGTCTTGCTCTCGCTGTCTCCCGCTCTCGCTGTCTCCCGCTCTCGCTGTCTCCCGCTCTCGCTGTCTCCCGCTCTCGCTGTTGTCTTGCTCTCGCTGTCTCCCGCTCTCGCTGTCTCCCGCTCTCGCTGTCTCCCGCTCTCGCTGTCTCCCGCTCTCGCTGTTGTCTTGCTCTCGCTGTCTCCCGCTCTCGCTGTCTCCCGCTCTCGCTGTTGTCTTGCTCTCGCTGTCTCCCGCTCTCGCTGTTGTCTTGCTCTCGCTGTCTCCCGCTCTCGCTGTTTACCGCTCTCGCTGTCTCCCGCTCTCGCTGTTGTCTTGCTCTCGCTGTCTCCCGCTCTCGCTGTCTCCCGCTCTCGCTGTCTCCCGCTCTCGCTGTCTCCCGCTCTCGCTGTCTCCCGCTCTCGCTGTTGTCTTGCTCTCGCTGTCTCCGGCTGTCTCCCGCTCTCGCTGTTGTCTTGCTCTCGCTGTCTCCGGCTGTCTCCCGCTCTCGCTGTCTCCCGCTCTCGCTGTCTCCCGCTCTCGCTGTTGTCTTGCTCTCGCTGTCTCCCGCTCTCGCTGTTGTCTTGCTCTCGCTGTCTCCCGCTCTCGCTGTTGTCTTGCTCTCGCTGTTGTCTTGCTCTCGCTGTCTCCCGCTCTCGCTGTTGTCTTGCTCTCGCTGTCTCCCGCTCTCGCTGTTGTCTTGCTCTCGCTGTCTCCCGCTCTCGCTGTTGTCTTGCTCTCGCTGTCTCCCGCTCTCGCTGTTGTCTTGCTCTCGCTGTTGTCTTGCTCTCACTGTCTCCCGCTCTCGCTGTCTCCCGCTCTCGCTGTCTCCCGCTGTCTCCCGCTCTCGCTGTTGTCTTGCTCTCGCTGTCTCCCGCTCTCACTGTCTCCCGCTCTCGCTGTTGTCTTGCTCTCGCTGTCTCCCGCTCTCGCTGTCTCCCGCTCTCGCTGTCTCCGGCTGTCTCCCGCTCTCGCTGTCTCCCGCTCTCGCTGTTGTCTTGCTCTCGCTGTCTCCCGCTCTCGCTGTTGTCTTGCTCTCGCTGTCTCCCGCTCTCGCTGTTGTCTTGCTCTCGCTGTCTCCGGCTGTCTCCCGCTCTCGCTGTCTCCGGCTGTCTCTCGCTCTCGCTGTTGTCTTGCTCTCGCTGTCTCCCGCTCTCGCTGTTGTCTTGCTCTCGCTGTTGTCTTGCTCTCGCTGTCTCCCGCTCTCGCTGTCTCCCGCTCTCGCTGTCTCCGGCTGTCTCCCGCTCTCGCTGTCTCCCGCTCTCGCTGTCTCCCGCTCTCGCTGTCTCCGGCTGTCTCCCGCTTTCGCTGTCTCCCGCTCTCGCTGTTGTCTTGCTCTCGCTGTTGTCTTGCTCTCGCTGTCTCCCGCTCTCGCTGTTGTCTTGCTCTCGCTGTTGTCTTGCTCTCGCTGTCTCCCGCTCTCGCTGTTGTCTTGCTCTCGCTGGTTCTTGCTCTCGCTGTTGTCTTGCTCTCGCTGTCTCCCGCTCTCGCTGTCTCCGGCTGTCTCCCGCTCTCGCTGTCTCCCGCTCTCGCTGTCTCCCGCTCTCGCTGTCTCCCGCTCTCGCTGTTGTATTGCTCTCGCTGTCTCCCGCTCTCGCTGTCTCCGGCTGTCTCCCGCTCTCGCTGTCTCCAGCTGTCTCCCGCTCTCGCTGTCTCCGGCTGTCTCCCGCTCTCGCTGTCTCCCTCTCTCGCTGTCTCCGGCTGTCTCCCGCTCTCGCTGTCTCCCGCTCTCGCTGTCTCCCGCTCTCGCTGTCTCCCGCTCTCCCTGTCTCCGGCTGTCTCCCGCTCTCGCTGTCTCCCGCTCTCCCTGTCTCCGGCTGTCTCCCGCTCTCGCTGTCTCCGGCTGTCTCCCGCTCTCGCTGTCTCCCGCTCTCGCTGTCTCCCGCTCTCGCTGTCTCCGGCTGTCTCCCGCTCTCGCTGTCTCCGGCTGTCTCCCGCTTTCGCTGTCTCCCGCTCTCGCTGTCTCCCGCTCTCGCTGTCTCCCGCTCTCGCTGTCTCCCGCTGTCTCCCGCTCTCGCTGTCTCC